GGGGGGGGGGGGGGGGGGGAGTTATCCCTAGCATCAGACATTCATGTAAGTGTATGCCCTGAAGCGTGACAGTTTATACCTCTTAAATACATATATGTTTATATTGTTTAAATGTCATACTATCAAAATACCAGCATCTGGGACTCTGGGGCCCTTTTGCTGCTGAAGCATGCGGATGAATCTAGCTTTGGATTTGCCAAACTTTATAGTTATTACACAAACTCTGTTGAGCTCCCTTACCGTCTCACTCTCAGTCCCTATAGAGTGTTAGACTTCAAACATGAAGGTTCGAATAATAAGAGAGCACAGTTGTTGAGGCTATATAATTTACAAGCTGTAAAATGACCATATTAAAATTTAGAGGAAGACGAGTGTAGTGAAGTATATAAAACTTCAGTGCTAGATAATAAAATCAGGTGTTGTCCATGTGAACTGAACTTCACAGAAGTTAGCTAGTTACATTTAGGAAGTGGGTTACTGTGGTGCTAAAGACTTCTGTTTCATAAAGCTTCCAGAGATTGAGTCAGAAACATTGAATCCTGGCAGCCTGAACCTATTTTTGAAAACTTAAGCTGAGAGGTGTAGGTGACCAAAGGAATGCAAAGTTTATGAAAGCAGAGTCTAGAAATTGGTCATGGGCTTCCTTATGCTGGTTTCTTTACAGTGTCTCTGCAGCAGCACTTACCGTGAGAATAGTGTCAGGAAATATTCTGGAGGCATCCTTGTTTCATGCCCATACTCCAGAAATATCAAAAGAAAGAGCATGTGGATAAACTGTGCATTCATTCTAGGATCTGGAACCAACTTCCAAGGGAAGTGGTGCTGGGTCCTACCCTGGGGGTCTTTAAGAGGTAGCTTGATGTCTACCTGGTTGGGGTCATTTGAGCCTGGGTTTTCTCTCCTGTCCAGGGCAGGGGGTCAGACCTGATGATCTACTAGGTCCCTTCCGACCCTACTTCTGTGAATCTATGAATCACATACACACCCTGGAACAATAAACAATCAGCTGTCTGTTGCAATATTAATAGCAACAGATCAGTTTAAATATCAGCTAAATAAGACCCAGTCCTCTAATATTCAGGCAAAGCTCCCATTTGTTTTTATCTGCTACTGCAGGCAGGTCTTGAAACAAACTCCACAATACAGAGTTGCTCTATGGTCCATAGACTACCCTCCCAGTTCTCAGTGAAGCCCATATCCTCCAGTCATTCAAATTATTTTTAAACACATTTCTTTATGAGGTTCACAATCATGAATCCACACCAATTAATGTTCCTCTCTAACAATAAGGATCCCAAGGAACCACTTAATGGTCAGTGGGAATTGTGTGTATACATGAGGGCAAAACTAATTTTAGTGGGATGTCTGACAGACTAAGATCTTCTGGGGTGGCTCCACAAAGCAGATTAATTTCTTTCTCTCCCCTAGGAAACAAATGGCAGACTAGTTTATCACCATAAGTACTCAGTCCCTTATTCCTTACATATTATCCATAACTGAAAGCATCTTATAACATGGGGTGTTTTTACACATGCTCCGGAGTTGGGGGGGACACACTGAGAGCCACTCTAATTAAAGTACTCACAGTGTCTCATATAACAGCATCCCTGTGCTTCAAAATGGTGGCGGGAACACTTTAACTAAAGCTCATCGAAAGAGCTTTAGTTAAAGCGCTCCTACCACCATTTTGAAGCAGGGGATGCTGAGACATGAGATGTGGAGTCTGGTTGGAACACGCTAATTAGCACACGCCAGCGGACTTGATTAATCAATTAATTGAGTCTGCCCCAATGGGCTGTAATTACAGTGTAATTACAGGACATCAAAGCAGCCTCCCTGCAAGTGCATAGACACCCATAAGTGCTAATTGCCAAATAGAACATAATTTGAATCTATGCCATATTCTGGGGAAAACAAAAATCTGAGGCAAACTCTGCCTTCGTTATAGGTTAATAGCATAATACTCTTTTCTGTTGTCAGACTAGAAACTCAGTGCTATAAAATCCCAGAACGTTTATCCTCTGCTAATCAACCTGAGCGTACAACAAGGCTTGCCACTGAGATGGCAAGGACTATACTATAGAGTGTCCGCAACATTAAGCCTGGTTCTGCATGGACAGTGGAGCTGTCTTGTTGTGTCCTGTACTACAGAATAGGAACTGTTTCATGCAGCAGCACTTGGGTATTTATTTTCAACCACAACATGCATTTTTGGTCAGAGGTAGAGAATTTGACACTGTCAGTGGAGGGGAAACATAGGCTGTTTTTAGACATAACATTTTCTAGGTTTAATTTGGACTACAGCTTTCACTGTATACTTGTAGGTGCCTGTAGTCTGAATTAAAATTGGCTCCAGTCTGAATTAGCTAATTCTCATTGAATGAGGATTAAAGTTAATGAAGACTTGGGAAGTCCAAATTAGGCAATTTAAACTGTATTAATTAACATGTATATACAAGTCCTTAGGAACTCAGCAGGATAAGCATTGCAAATATCAGTCATCACAAGGGAAACTCAACTGGGTTTTTGCAACACAACAAAGGCTATCAGGCACAAAGTAACACCTTTACAAAGTCAAATGTGCCAACAACACCTCACCATGACTAAGCATCAATTGCAGGGCAATTGTACCCATTACAGCCTCTGGAACAGAAGTTTAGATAACTGTCAGTAGGATTGCAACAATATATCAGTGGTTAAATAGACTTATTATTACCTCCTAATTACTTCCAAACATAAGCCCATACACAGAGGATATGAACTGTGTCTAAGGTGCTGTCAAGTGTGTTAACTGAGTGTAGCCAGGATGCCCTGCCATGATGGTCAATGATCATCTATTAACCCTTAATTTGAATTTAAATTTGGTTCAAACTGTGATGCAAATCAGTTAACACAGTTTAGAAAATGGTGAGTATGTCTACAAACAGCCATAGGAACTGCTACATGAGAACAGACTAGTAGCCCACCTAGTCTGATATCCAACTTCTGAAAGTGGTCATTGCCAGATTTAGGAGAGAAAAGGATAAAAAAAAATTGGTGAAGAATTAAACAATAACTTAATATAACTTTAAATTATGGTCCAATGTCTATCTAAAAGATAAACTGTAGGTCAGTCAGATGTCAAGGATTTGATTTTGAGATCACTTCTTGACATTACATGGATTGCTTTATGCAGATGGACAAGCTAGGTTGGGGTGGGCAATTATTTCAGCTGAAGAGCCACTTAACCAGTTTTGGTGAGTTGCCGCGGGCTACAAGGTAGCTCCACCCCTTGACAGGTGCCCCCAGCTGCCATCTTGGTACCCAAAGTCTCAAGTCTCTATCCCATGGCCTTTGACTCCAGAAGTCCCTCCCGTTGTCCCAAAAAGACTCCTTGGGAGCGAGGGGGGGAGGGGTGAAGGGAAGGAGGGTTGCCATCTTGGAACTGGAATAAAAGCAAATCAAGTACTAAAAATCAGACATCTACTATTTAATGTTTATTTCAAAAATATTTTTGTCCTGATTGATGTGTTTGTGTAGTGTATATAGAGGCAATTGCATAATAGCTCAAAATAAAGTTTTAGTCTTGTATATTTGTGTGTGAGGGTAGGGAGGTGTACAATGGGGGAGTTTGGGGTTGGGGTGTACGTGGAGGCTGGAGTGTGTGGGGGTGTATGTGTGGTCTGGACATGGGAGGGGGCCCAGAGCCACATATAGCAGCAGCGTGTGGGATCAGCCGGGCCTAGCCCCACAGGCCTCATGCTGTGTAGTTCCCACACTCCTGCCTGAGTCCCCAGCTCCCACGTGGTGGCAGCATGTAGGCCAGCCCTGCCTTGCCCCATAGCACACATCTCCCATGTTCCTGCCTCAGTCCCCAGCTCCACATTGTGGCAGCAGCATGCAAGGCCAGCTCCACCAGCCAGACTGGTCTTGTCTCTATCTTGGGTCTGGGGGCAGGTCAAGCCAGACTGGGGTGGGGGTTGGTTGCTTAGAAAGCAAAGCGGGAGCTGCTGCTGTAAGGGCACTGGCACCTGCTGTCCAGAAGTACTGGCTTTCAGAGGGGCAACCGAGGGCCAGGCCAATGCTAATTGTCTTTCGGCTTTGGGAGAGGTCTCAAAGGCCAGATGGAATTGCCTGGTGGGCCGGATCTGGCTTGTGGGACATATTTTGCCCACTTCTGAGATAGATAAGCACACTGAACACTTTAGTCCTCATCTATGGAGCTGCATGTTATTTTTATTTACAGAAACATTTGTTTCATGCCTGCACCAATGAATTTTAGAGCTCAGCTATGACTACTTTCTCAAACATTGGCTTAAGAGGGCACACTTATAGGTTACTGGCTGTCCTATGAGGGATGCTGTCCTTTTCTTTTTTTAGCACGTAACAGGATGGACATAGATCGGGCACAGGCCAAAGTGTATATGACCATCACTTTCTGTCCTTGCTCTTTTTTCTTTTTATCTGCCTTCTTTGTGATGGTGTACTTTATCTTTAGCAGTGAAACTAAGTTTTGCTTAGCTCTCAACTAGTTATTTTTAAATATTTTGCTTGTGGGCAATTTGAAGGTTGATTACCTTTTTTGTTGCCTTTGATTATAAACAGGTAGTCTTAAACGTTACTTCAAACATTACAGATAATCCAATCGATAAATAGACTTAATGGGCATCTATACATGTGCTCCAGGGTTGGGGTGGGGGTGGGGGCATTTTGTGTATTTAGTGTCCCATGCTTCAAAATGGTGGCAGGAACGTTGGACTAAAACTCGTTTGACAAGCTTTAGTTAAAGTGCCTCCGCTGCCATTTTGTAATGCGGGGACATTGAATACACATGCTGGTGAGGCTGTTGGAGTATTGTAATTAGAACACTCCAGCAGACTGGATTAATCAAGTGCACTCAGACGTGTTCTAATTAGGAAGTGTTGGAGGCGGCATCCCACATGTGTACAGGTACTTAATGTTCTTTCCCTGCATGGTAGATGGCACCAAAGAACAATGGTGAACTGCACTTTGTGAGAAACCCCTTTTGTTCAATTAATTTTTGTTTGTGCCTAGTAGATTATATGCAGCCATCCTGCATAGTGCTCATTGACCTATTAAAGGCATGATGATAGTTTGACAAGGTGTCCTGATTACGTTAATCCCTTAGCTCTTGACAGAAGACACAGTCTGGTTTTTGATCTGCTTGTTGTTCTATCTGAATGGTGACAGAGTGAAAAGTGTAATTGTCAAGGAGCACTCGAGTAATTTCTTTTAGAATCTGTTGACTGTCCACTGTGTTTGCTGTAGATGGAGAACAAAAAAACAAGAATTACTGCACTGGATGAATGCAATAGTTTTCAGAAAACGGAGGGAATACCAAGACACATATTTACAAACATGGTGGCAATTTCTGACTAGAATTTTGTTTTTAATGTGTTCACAGCCTTTTTATCCATCTTTTATGACCATTCTTGCAGCAACATTTTGTTCATTTTTCTGGTCAGAAAATGAATTTCAGCCAGTAGGTGAGGTGAATTTAATCAGGAAGTAAAACTCTATTTTTCAGAAAAAATCTCTTCTAGAGAAAAACAACAATGATTAAAATGGTTAGTTCAATCAGCCAGGGAATGGAAACAATGCCACCTCCTTGGGGGACCAATATAATGCCCCAGGCAGGGAATGGTGACTATTAAATACTTGGAGGAATTGTCCTACTAAACAGTTTGTAAGACATACACTGAATCTTTTTCTCATACTGAGCACATGTCTAAAAATTACACTGTCAAACAGATTAGTATGAAAATCACTGCTGGGAAGTGGATAAATTGTGGCTAGAAATAAGAACTAGATTTGACAGTGAAAGATTGTATATTGTTCTACCAGTCTTACTTCTATATTTCAAATTACATTATTGGATTACAGTTAGCTATTATCTACTGACCTGTGCCACCAGTTATTATTGAAGCTGATCAAAATTTTTCAAATTCTTGACAAAAAATGTGATACCAAAATCTCCCTTTTTGTTTATGAAAAATCTCTGCTGGTTCTATTTTTATAATAATTTTAAGATCCTTGCTTTCTTCTTCATTTACAGCGTTTCAAGTATTTTTATTATGCATAGGTTACTACTGCATTTGGCACCATTTCTGGAGGAAGGATTAAAATGCTCTTTTTTACTTTCCTTCTTTTTTTTTTAAACAAAAAATCACTACTGTTATTATAATGAGCAAACAGACATAAACAATTTGTTGAATCTCAATAAGGAGAAACTGACCTTTACTAGGAATCAAATGACTGGTTAATCTCTGTTTACAGAAATGTACTGACCTGTGGCAACGTGAGCAGATAAAATAGCTTGATTCATTGTCAGAGACCAAAGACGAAGGTTGTGGATAGATTGCACTTTGTCAACAGCTAGAATTTTCTCTTTCACTGCATCATAATTAAATACCTTTGTTGTTCCTGTAGAATGGGAAAAACACCTTTTGGTTAAATTAAAGTAAAGACAAACTGACAATGAATGGAACTGGTTTTTTTCTTTGCTTTTTCCTTTGTTTTCTTTTTACTTGTAATTGTGACTTTAAAGTATATCCTCTATTTCAAACTACTGCTGTGAGTGGAAAGCTGCCATGAAGCAGGGCCTACATCACTTCGGAATGGAGAGGGTCAATGATAAGATAGAGAAAAGGTGTCAGAGGCAAGCAAGGCAAGATCATACTTGGCATGGCAGTACAACTTAAACTGAGTTTGTATGTGCAACTTGCTGGAGGGTCTGCTTGTCATGCATCAGACTCCTCAGCCACTCAAGAAGCTGTGGTGGTATCTGGTAACCCACGAAAGGTGCAATCTCCATGGTCTACCAAGACTGATGACTGCCAGTGATGATGATTCCAACTTGTGGGAGTACGGAGTGACTGAGCAGTTAAGGCATCTTTCAACATGAGTTTATGCCCTACTTGTTGCCAAAGGCTGCCCCCACTGAACCCAGTTGTAAATGAGGACCAGATAATTTGGGCTGGGTAGTCAAAGGTGACTGGATGTGACATATATCACAGCACTCCTTCATGTGGCATTGGCTACAGAGAGTTGCCTTAGCTACACTAATCTAATAGACTGCTAATCTAAGGAGGACTTTAATTTTTTTGATTACTCACTACTTCAGGAAGCAATGAAATTTAAATAAATCTTGAAGCTAAACAGATACTAGAAGAGTTCTCTTTCTTACAGAAGTAAACCCTTTAGTTAGATCATCTTCCCATTCTGTCCTATCCCTGGGAATATGGATGTCACAGTACCCAAATACCTCACATTCATTAGAGGGTTAGAGAAGCACCATACTTAATTTACAGATAGGAAATGAAGGAACAGTGCATGTTATATGATTTGCCCAAGGTTGCATAACAATTGTGTGCCTGAGATGGATCTGGAACATAGGTCTCCTGAGTTCTACTCCATTTTCCTCTTTACCAGAAAACCCCTCTTGCCTGCCAGGATTATTTTCTCTTGTCTGTGGCGACAAGTACAGGAGTATGGATATGCATATTAGAATTAGATGTGAATCTGAGCTTCAGAATTAAATCTTTATTCAAATTCTCTGTAGTTGCTTACTACAGAGTAATTAATGCGTATGGACAATTGCTGCAAGGCAGCTGTTGATCAGTAAACACTTTTTCTCCTTTTACCCTATGTTATATTGTTCAGATAGCCATGCCCTTAGAAATCTAAAGCAGGACATAGAATCATAGAAAATTAGGGTTGGACAGGACCTCAGGAGGTCATCTAGTCCAACTCTCTGCTCAAAGCAGGACCATCCCCAACTAGATCATCCCAGCCAAAGCTTTGTCTAGCCCAGGCTTTGTCTTGATCACCTTTAAGG